TTAGTTCCTAAAGGTATTTTCCAATGGTTGCCCAAATGCAAAAAAAAATCCACTCGCGCACAAGGACCCAATGAAAATTAGGTACCTATTTCCCTTGCTTAATTTTGTAGGCGAAATGTCTTAAATCTAAAGAGAGAAAATGGTTTCTCAACAGTGAATGTTCAAGGCATATGACAGGTGACATTTCCTTATTCTCGCCATCATGTATCTTTGAAATGTTGTAAGAGCGTTACGTAATCCAAATGACATTCGACGATAGGCGGAGGTACCATAAGGACATATGGAGGCCGTCTTTCCTTGGTCATCAGGATGACTAGGGATTTGGAAGAAATTATGAATAACCGTCTAAATAGCAGAAATGAAAGTGTTTAGCCAATCGTTCGAGCATCTGATCTATAAAGGGTAAAGGGAAATGATTTTTACGAGTGACTTTATTCAGCTTTCTGTAACCAATGCACATCCTCCATCCAGTTACAACATGTTTTGCTACAACTTCGTCCTTTTTGTTATCGATAATTGTAACACCTGATTTCTTTGGTACAACATGTATTGGGTTGACCCAGTTACTATCGAATATCGAGTATATAATTCTTGCCTCTAACAACTTTTGCACCTCTTTCTTAACTACATCATTCATAATGAGGTTAATCCTTCTCTAGTGCCCTCTAGAGGTCTAGCAGTCTTCATCTAGCATAATGTGATGCATGCATACAGAGGGACTTATCCCTTTCAGATCTGAGATGTTATAGCCTATAGCTTTAGGGTATTTTCTTAAGACATGTAATAGTTTCTCAGTTTCTATCTGTTCTTATTCTGTGTTGACTATTACAAGGTGTTCGAGCTCTGTAACTAGGAATTCATACCTTAGATTCTTGGGTAGTGTTTTAAGTTCTGTAGAAGGTTTTTTTGGGCAAGGCATATGATTTGGAGTTAGTACTAAGCATTCTCTCAAACTATCATCTACGTATGGTTCACACCAGTCATCATATTCTATTATCAGAGGTGTTATAATCTTTAGGAATTTAGTATACCTAGATTGTTCCATATCCATTTCTCTTACACATTAGTCGATGTTGATCGAGGTTTGAATTTGCGTGCGAAACGATTAAAGAATTGAACTAAATGGTAAATAGGTCCTAATGGTATAAGGTAAGGTCGATGGCGAGACAAAAGTGCTCGACTTACAGAAGGTAATGGGATATGATATACATCAAGAGCTTTAGGGTTTCAAAATTGAACCACAAAACAAGCAAGTAAAAGGGAAATACTTGAATTGAGTTTTAATCGTGTGCACTAGCAAAATGGGTTAGTCTTCTAAACGACCAACTAATAGTAATTGATCGAATATGTCTCATTGTAAGAAAGTCCAAGAGTAAACTTTGAATGTTGTGTATGGTGACCAAAAGATTGATGGCGATGCTTCAAAAGCAATCGACTTACAAGGTGGAAAATGGCTCAACATTGGGCCGAAAATTTATTTTTAAAACGGTTCAAAGCATCAGAGCATAATCAAGACAAATGAGTAAAATTATTACACTTTATGGAAATTGGGGTACATTTTGTCGAATGGGGATGAAATAACACAAAAGCAAATGCGTACAAACAGGGCAGTTTTAGTATTGGAATTCTTCGATCTTGGCCCGATTTTATTTCACAAAGTCAAATTGGTCAAAGTAATTAAATTAATATAAATAAATATCAAAATTATTCGATTAAATTTGATAATTAAGTTAATTAAAAATTTATTAATAAAATTAAATTAAAAATTATTTAATTAATGAACGGTGAACACAAAAGCGAGCATTTAAACTAAATCAAATCGAATTTGTCACAATGTGCTAAAAAGTCAGTTTGTATATAACTATCACATAATCAAAATATCGTATGTATGAGTCATAACGCGGCGAAAATACAATCAAAATATCAAAAATTTCAACAACATAGCAATATATAAATATCAAACACGTGGGTTAGAAAGTCAATTTATTGCCATGGAATTAAATAGCAACACAAGTAGTTTCATAAAGTTTACAAAATTATTCACAATATTCACAAAGATATTCATATCAAACAGGGTGCAAATAGAAGGCAATATGGCACATGAGCCTGGACTATCACGTGAAATCAAGCCCAATCACACATTAAAATCATGTTTCATAAAAAAAAGACAATAAGAAGATTAGCATGAGGGACCACCCTCTCTATCCTACTGATCCAAACTTAAAGCACAACAGGTGGGAAGTTGTGTTTGCTTTGTGCGTTGGTTTGATGATGAGCAGAAACTTTGTAGTGAGGTAGTGAATTCCTTCTCACGAGGACGTGTTTAGATCAATAGGAAAAACCGTTTTTTTCACATGGCCATGTGGCAATTCAAGAGAGATATTTTATCTCTTTTATTCGCTGCTTGCCTCACACGATTCAATCATCATGAGCCAAAAAATATTATTTCCTCCTTTCTTTATTAGTAATAAAAACAATTAATCTATTTTGTTGAATAGAAAAAAAAAATCCACATGATCACAACTATAGACTCTTGATTAATCTCAATTTAACGGTCGAGATTAAATCAAAGAAGCACAAATTGTAACTAATTTTTAAAAAGTCTAAAATATCATTCTAAAAGTTCTAATTGATTTAAATAAAATTAAATCAAACTTTTAAATATGATAAAAAAGCAATGCAAATGAGAAATTTTATTTTATTATGAATATTTTGATGAAAATACAAAAATAAAACGGCTGAAAAATGAACAAAAATTGGGCGATCAAGTGTCCGATAAAATAAATTGACTGCACTAAAATGATTAGCGGAGAATAAACGACTCGGAAAAAATACAATGTTTTGTCAAATTTGAAAATCAATCGGGATCGATAAAATATCTCAGACTGATCGAAATGTGACTGAAAAGTCGTCAAAAAATAAGAGGAGCACGCCAGGATAAACTATGCGAATAACGGATCAATATCGTTGACGTCTGCAAGTTTAAATTCGAAACTTCTCAACCACGGATTTTTTGCATATTTGAGAAACAATTTAGACAGTCCGTCTGTATATCTGAGAATTCATTATGGCTAATCATTTTAGAATTTATTCATGCTGAAAAACAGGTTATGCTATGCAGGCGACACAAAATGAAAATAAAGTCAAACAAATAAAAATTTGAAAAAAGGTAGGACAAATTTGAAATATGACAATCCAACGCTGGGGGCACATTATAAATAACCTATTTTACTAGAGAGTCATATATTCTATTCTACACACCTATTCTCTCTGTACTTGCTATTTCTAAACTTCGTTACTCACTTAGACATTGGAGTACCTGTACACTTCCTCCTCCTCTTCAACACTAAGCTCACGACGCATGACAGATTGTTGATTCCTTTCTGATCAAAAAAAATCAAGTTTAAATATTAGAAATTTATAAAATATTTTAATTGAATTTAATGATTTTGAAATGGAATTTGAAATTCCTTGTTAATTGATTAAATTATTATTATATTTTAAAATTTCTTAGAATGTGAATGTCTTATTGAATATTATTTGAAAATTTGAAAATTGTTTTTCAAAATTTTCAAATATTACAAATTGATCCTTAAAATTTTTCAAAATATTACATATTGGTTCTTAATAATTTTCAAATTTTACAATTGATCCCTTTAAAATTTGTAAAATTGCAATTTGGTTTTATTTTTCAAATTGTAAATTTGGTCAAAAAGGTTTTAAAATTCATAACAATTACCCGAAGAATTCAACAATGAATAGTGTTAATACTTCATCCAAACAAAACATTTAAAAATTAATTAATTTTAATTGAATCATTTCAATTGTTTAAAATTTTAAATTCCTTCAAAATTTCTAATTATCTTGTTTAAACACACTCTTAAATGCTTGAGAAGCAATTCTCTTAAAATACAAACTGTTGTAAACATTAGAGTCAACGACCACTTTTTAACTTCTTAAGATATGAATTATTCTAAACATTACTCTCAACTCAAGCACCACTTTTTAACTTCTTAAAATATGAATTATTCTACACATTAATCTCAACTCAAGCAACTCAAAGAGACCACCACTTGTTAAGATATGAACTCTCAACTCAAGCAGACCACCACTTGTTAAGATATGAATTATTCTAAACATTACAACTTAAGCAGACCACCACTTGTTAATACATGAATTATTCTAAACATTACAACTCAAGTAGATATTAACTTGAGTGTCAGAGAGATGCACCCCGTCATCAAAAATTGACTTTGTTATATATTTTTTTGGACAACATTCTCCAAGTTTCAAAAGAGGTTTGTGAATAATTCATGGGGTGTAATAAGAATCCCAAAATATATCTAATTAACATTGTGACTATAAAGAGTTGATACATTACCAATCAATAAATTATAATCGTTGAATTATTACTTTTTTGCTTTAATTATAACTATATCAAATGTCAAAAATACAATTGTTTCTGATTGACTAGCAGTGTAAACTATTTTACATTTCACTAACCCTAAGACAAACCAATTTGATGGATGATAAGAGTCATTCCTTAACTATGACATCAAATAAACTCTACTACATACTTTGTTGTGACCAAATAATTTTTTTGTTTTGTTTTTTCTTGTAGTCTATTAAAAGGAAACCAAGACTACAATGCTATACAACTTTACATGATCTTCTGTTCAGCCACATTAACATCCCAAAATGTGAAATGGGTAAAGGATACAGAGATGTCTCAACTATCTTTAAGTAAACTATTTTCTAAAAGCTTTTTTCATTGTGCATTTGTAATTTTTAGCATGACATCTCTTGCTAAAACTGTTTTTAGCAAGAGATTTTAGTAATAACTAGAATACACAGTTATGTGTTGTGACTCATAGGCAGATGAGTATTCTGAATATCCGACATCAGACCGGATTTCAACTATTTAACAGTTGAGAGAGTGAATCCGGTCTTGACAGGCTTCACTGCATAACATCGAATCCAACTATGATACCACTCAACCTTTAGCACTGATAAGAGGATGGGAACCATTTGGATAAGAAATAATGTTTCATTTCTAGAATCAGCATAAAGAAACCATAACATGGAATATGCATTAATGCCAGCAACAAGTACCTAAAGTTCATAACACAAACAAATTTGATTAAGCATATTATCTATCCGAAATATTCAAAAGTGAGGAGAAAATGAGGACTAGGATCTAGTCCAAGATTCGGCAACACGAAAGCCGTGTTTTACTAGATAAGGTAATGGCCTCAAAATTGATTCTAAACCGAGTTTTCATTCTGTTTTTCATGATTCTTCAGTTCCATATTGCACTTAAAAAATCACCAGAATAAAACCTTGCATGGAAAGGAATATCCCCTTTCTCACAATGCCTTAAGTTCCACAAGAGTTAAAATGTAGAGCATCGGGCAATTAATTTTCCACTTCGTCGTTTAATTTGAAAACATAATAAGTAGTAGTACTAAAGAATGAAATGGTTTACCACAAGGGTGCATAAGGTGATGACAAATCAAGAAATGGGTAAGGCCACCTGTAAGAACGAGAAGAGTCACCATTGTTAGATAAACCATTGTGCCGCAAAATTTGACATGAATAAATATAGCATACGTTACCAAATTGAGACGCAAGCATGAATTATCCACTGAAAAATTACGTAAACACCTGTCCATAATACACAGAAAGACATCCCAGACCAAGGTATTCGCTGGAACATGTAGGTTAAAGAAAATTAACATTGGCTTTTGCAATTACTCTAAATTAGGATTCTAAAAAGTTCGTGAAAAACATTCACCAGGCAATTTAAAACTGCATCACCAAAGAGCAAAATAAAATTTACTGTATGCAGGTTCACTGTCATCTGCACAGGGAGGAAACAATGATGAGACTAAATCATTAGGACGTGTAGTAGAGGTGAGGGGAGAAAAAAAGAAGACACTAATAGGGATCAATTAAATTAAGACCATAATATGATATATCAATTGGATGAATCTTTATATGTAGTTAAATTTTAAATTTAGAATACTAAGACCGAGGGCCATGTTGGGGGTCAAGTTGGGAAACACTTTGATTATCCCCAAAGATGATATGCGGATATCCAATGTTACGAGTATCCTAATAATATTGATTATTCTTAGAATTCAGGCACATGTCCTAACTCATATCCCCGGAAATTCAGTGAAAGGTGGGGACTGCCTAAGCCTTGTAAAGGTAAGAATTCGGGTATCATATATATAGGTGATATTGGACTAACCTACCAACGCATTAAAGGTGGTTTACCACTGTCATGAAGATAAACGAACAATCTCAGTAGCAGGGTGGCTGCAATAAAGACTAATTTTCGAACACACTCCGTGACGTTTAGGCCCAATGTTCCTAAAGTTAGATCAATGAGTAAGGGTTACCCATAATTTAAGATATAGGAATTACAATCTTCCTTTCCAAATTAGAGATCCTGAAGAAAGAGAAAAAAATATGTATCTTGATGTAAGAATTCAAATGCATTTCAAATCAGATCATATATATTGAACCAATAACCTCATTTTGATGTTTCCAATCAAAGAAGAACATATTAATTTGAAATTCACTAAAGATTGCCTTAACATAGCACGAAACAAGAAATATAAGTATGAAAATATTTAAAGTTGCTACTCACAAAGTTTAAATCATAATCTCTCAGGGTAAGGAATGGAAAAATAATGAGCCAATAAACGCAATCCGTAAACACGACAGCTCCTGCACTAATCTGTTTAAATACATAATGAAACACATTAAATTCAAGGAACAGTAATGCAACCTTGTAACCAATGCGGACAGATGTTAAATTATATAAATTATAATAAATGTAAAGTTCAGGTATTCAGTTGAACTTCATTAACATGCAAAATCATCTGACTTTTCATGCAATTAGGTCCAAAACATCCAGATTAGTCAGCATGCACTTCAGCTCAATAAATTATTCCCTCTGTCCTGATCTTTGACCCCTTAAGGTATGGGCACATACATTATTAAATAATAAATTTAGACAAATATAGACTGATTTACCCTTAATTTATTTAATGTATGATTTTGATTTTTGTAATGGTACAAGGAGAAAAACATGCTTAATTGTATCTTGGTTTCATAAAGCAAACAAAGTTTTGGGAAAGAAATAAAAAGCTTAAACGACCAAAGATTGGGAACTGAAGGAGTAGTTACTGTTGTGCACATGCATTTCACATAAGATAAAAAAAACACAACAAAACCATGCGGCTGAAGGAACTAAAAAAATGCAAGATGCAAAACAAAGGAAAAAAAAAAAGAATAAACGACAGATCACGCTTAAAAAGAGAAAAATAATGTATAGAACACTCACAAACATAAAAAAAATGTAAGGGAAAGCAAATAACTGAATTTCTCAACATACATTAAGCCTAAGTTTGTGTTTTTCTATTCAATACTTGTCGATACCTGGAATAAAATATGAAAAATGTAACTCCAAATGGGCGCAATTTGACTTTTTTGTATGTTAACGTCAGGATCAGCTGGGCGTTCCATTCTAGATGCATTTGTGGCATCCTGGTATAAGAGAGGCAAATGTGGACCTTGCTCTGCATCTATTCTACTAATATTATCATTAAAGGCACTGTCTGTTGATTTTCTATACATATAACACCCATAAACTGATAGCACAGATCCAAACTACAAAAAGAAGTTCAAATTGTGAAACATAAATATGTCAAGACATCAGAATTAAAATTCTTGTAGACCTTTACCTGACTAGAGATTTTTTTAATGTGTAAAACATCACGAAGATGCAAAATGAGATATATGAATAGGATTGGTTCAATTAAAGACTTCCAAGGAGAATCAAGAGCCATACCCCAAAATAAACCGTAACCAGAGTGAAGGTCCACCTGGAACAAATCCACAATTTATGAATCAAATGGCAAAAAATCTGAAACCTAAAATTTGAAACAAATAGGAGACATTGAAACGAAACTGAGAAAAACTAAGACAGCTTAAAAATGGAAATACTCACTGAGTGTAATAGTAAAATGTCACGCCACGGCTGAAATGAAGTTTGGTAGTCAGCGTCGCGAAAAGAGAAGAGAATGAAAAAACTCGAAAAGCTAGCAAACAAGCAGGATGAATGCTTTTAAGGCATGGCTTCCACGCTTCATCGCCACACAAATCCCTGTCTTGCTGGTTTTGTCGTTTGTCAATGGCGAGGTTCCTTGAATTTTCACGCTTCCATATGGTAAAAGATGCAAGAAGCATACATAGCAAAACAGAACATACACATAGATAGACCCTCCAATTTAACCAATAACCGAGGGTGGTTGAATCGGCTGTATCGCTCAATTGCATCATCCTGATTAAATAAACAAGGTTGCTAAATGAATTTCATAGTAGAATATTTCAATAAACAAGGTTGCATCATCGTGATAAAAATCCAATTTCACTAAATTACACAATTCCCGTCAATTGTTCACTCTTCTACTTGCACACTACCTTTCCTAATCAATATTCTACTATCAAATTTTCAAACAATAAATAAAAACCCTAATTCAGTTATTTCCATTAACAAATAAACAGAATTGAAAAACCACAAAAGGAAATGATAATGCAACGTTGAATGGTGATTGAAGATAAGATTGGTGGAAACATACGGTAAGGAGGAATGTGAGCGAGGAAGAAACTGGAAAAGGCGCGTTGGGGACATTTCTGTTTTTGGAAAATAAATTAAAATGGAAAAAAGAAATAAAATAGAGAGTGGTTTTTGTTGAATGAAGCGGTTACAGGTTTGTCATCAGTCTCATGAAGAAAAATGTGTTGTCAAAATATTAAAAAAATAAAGGAAGAAAAGAAAAGTGTGATTTTGAACAAGTATTTTCTATTGGGTATGAAATCTAGAAAATGATTGATCCAAGTTTGAGTTGACTCCATGACGGGATGCCTAAGAGTATTTTTAGTGGGAGTAAATTAAATGGGTAAATTAAGATATTTTTTGTGGGCTTAAAGTAATTTGTAGGATTTGAGTTGTTTATAGTTGATTTGAGTATGGTTGTTTGTAAAAAACCAAAACTTGACCCTATATTTTATAGTTGTCGGAGGTTTATTGATATTTTAATAATATAAAATAAAAAAATAATAATAATCAGTTTATAGTGTGCGTTGGTTACATAGTTTACTCCCACTAATTGTTAGTTCACTTACTGCCATGTCATTTTTATTTCAATGCAAATTGCTTATAACTACCATTACTATTAAAGAATTTGCACTAAAGATGCTCTAAGAAATGAACACGTAATGTTTTTGTTAGAAACATGGTAGGAGTGGAAATTTATTGACATGCAATGTTTTTTTTTTTAATTACTATACAATACAATATAGACGAAGAAAATGATAAGCGGTTGATTCATTATCATTTGTTTATTTTATCTTATAGTCAAACTCTTTTGATCATTCATCTATAATTAATTAATGGTGTAAAATTCTTATATACTCTCAGTTTATTTCAATTAAACATTTTTTTAATTATGCAATATCATTCTATTTCTATCTATCTACTACCTCTCTTTCAAATTATAAGTTATTTTACAAATAAAAAATATTTGTCTCAAATTATAAAACACTTTAAAATCTCAATACAACATTAATGACTTTTTTTTTATAATATATCCTTTATAATTTATTTCTCTTTCTTCTTCCAATTCCTTTGGTCCACCCTTCAATATAATTAATGAATGATAGTTTTGTAAAGTCATAACTCATTTCATTTTTTCATAAAATAATAATTACATTTTTTAATTTGTGTGAAATACTCTCTTATAATTTGGGACGGAGAGAGTACTACCTCGATCTCAAATTATAAGACACTTTGAAAAAAATATTTGTCGCAAATTATAAGTCACTTTATAATTCCAATACAATATTAACTATTTTTTTCTTAATATACCATATATCATTTATTACTCTTTTTATTTCTATTCTTTTAATTTCGCTTTCCAATGTAATTAATGGAGGATATTTTTATAAAATTATAGATCATTTTACTTTCCCATACAATAATCATTATATTTTTTTAATTCATATGAAACACACAAAACATCTCATAATTTGAGATGGAGGGAGTATTTTAAATTTGGGTCGATTATGTTATTAAAACATTAATATTACTATGAGGGTAAAATTTGTCCTTCTTTTATAAATAAACGGTGAATAATCTGCCACTCTTAAATTTTTGTTAAATTTTAGATGAACATTGGTATTTTAAATATAATTTAATGAGAAAAGTAGGGTGACTTATATAATTTGGCTCTTTAAAATAATTTGATTAGATGTATGTGTAACATTTTTCATGCTAACAGTGCGCTACCATTAAATTCTAATTTAATATCGCATTTAAGAGTGGAAAAAAGAGTGTGATGACTTATCATTTGTTAAGTTTGAGTTGGACCTATTAGTTTAAGTCTCAACAATTTATCAAATGTTTATTTTTAAATATGATTTTTTTAAAGATTTGATTGATCTTTTGACTTACTTAAAAGCCTACTTAAATATTTGTAAATAATAAATTCAACCAATATTAAATAAATTATTTAATTAAAAGATCAACGAGATTAAATATTTATTTTCATTGACTCATTTGAGATTATCGATTAGCATAAGTTTTGTGATACTATTTATTTGAGAGAACTTATGAAAATAACTTATGTCAACAATTTATGACATTGTTCATAAGGTTTTCTCAACTTATTTTTTATAAGTTTTTCTAGATAACTAAGCTTTATTTTCGCATTTTAATTCAAATTACAAAATATAATATATTATATTAATAATAATAATAATAGTAGTAATAATAATAATAATAATAATAATAATAATAATAATAATAATAATAATAATAATAATAATAATAATAATAATAATAATAAATTTATAGGTTAAATATGTTTGTGGTCCTCAAATATTTTAAATTTCATTTTTAATCTTTAAAATATGTCCTTCAAAGAATGGTCTTCCTACATTTTCACCCGCACTTTAGGTTTATAATATTAAAATTGTCGCTAAAACTATTGCTAATTCAGTCGCTAAATAATAAACAGTAGCTAAAAGTGTCACTAAGTTGCAGGATAGATCAAAAGTGCGGTCACTTTGATGGCGGTCACTTTAGGCTGTCATTCCCTGTTAAGACATCTTAAGATCTTATTAGTAGCAACATCATTGGAAACAGGCCTACCTAATGAATGTAAACGATTGATGAGATGAGTAAATCTCTTTTGCATGTCAGCAATGGTTTCCCCTTGCTCCATGAAAAAGAGATCAAACTCTTGTATTAATGTGTTGATTCTAGCCAACTTAACATCGTTTGTCCCCTCATGGGCTATTTGTAGTGAATCCCACATGGCCTTAGCAGTAGGACAATGGGATACACGATAGTATTCATCTACACCTAATGAGGAGATTAAAATATTTTTGACTTTCCAATCATAATTGTATTTTTTCTCATCGTCATCGGTCCATTGTGCTTCGGGCTTTGGCACAACTACGTTATCCGCATTGGTCATAGTAATTTCTATTGGACCATTGAGGATAACGTTCCATATTTTTCTGTCTATGGAGTTTATATGCACCCGCATACAGTCTTTCCAATAACTATAATTTTCACCGTTGAAAACGGGAGCTCTATTGTACGCCCCTTTTGGTTCGTTAGCCATTTTCTATCTACGTTATATTTGAAGCACCGAATAACCGGAGCTCTAGATACCACTTGTTAGACTATGGCACGGATCTAGAAGGGGGGGATTGAATAGATCCCCAATTAAAATTTGAGTCGGCGCTACCAATTAAAAATTGTTTTAACTGCGGAAGCGGCTGAGGAAAATATAGTCTAAAACGAACGGTTATTGGAAAACCGGATATGCGTAAGCCTTTGGATTAATGACAATATGGAAAATAGAATCACAACACTAATCACACTTATCAATTATCTACTTTAGTTGTTAGGATTCCTAGTTCCAATGATTCAAAGAGCAAACCAAAACTAGATACACAAGTAAGATAATTTTGGTTCAAGCAATTTGTCAAACACTTGGTGTGCAAAATACTCCAAGTGATATTTATGTTGAGTAAGTGATTCCAACTGGCCTAGTACAATGTCTTATTGTACTTTGGAGTCAAAAACAGAGTTTTAACCTCTTACTCAATTGATATCACAACTTTGACAATAATGCTTATACAAAAATCACTTATTTTGAGCTATAACGTAAATGCTGAAAAATAGAGAAGACAAGTATTTGGTGAGGCAGTTCCCCCGTCGTCCTCGCTTTGGGGTATGTCTGCCCTCAATTCTAAAACTAGAATTGAGATAGATTTTATAGATATCACCTGTTGAATGTAACCGTTTATACAAGGATTGAGCATCAATTATACAACAGAAATCTCAATGTGTTGAAAGTTGCTTTCACTCCTTGCCCCTTGATTCAAGATGAATCAAGTCCTCCGATTGTTATTGATGGACCTCCGATTCCAGCCACCTTATTGAATAACACGTTGTTGTTCAAACCTTCGGCTCCGGCTGATCTCAACAGCAATAAATCGAACCTGAAATCTTCCCTTCAATATCACTGAATCCGCTACTAGACTTGTGAAGAACACCTCTTTACAATCACCTTCGCTCAGTTGACCCTTGATGAAGAATCTCGTCCAAAAAACCCCCAAAATTCAAACCAATCTTGGAGGGTAAAACCCCAACGGTTTTATTCAAGAAAGAACCTGTCACAAGCTTCAACCCGAACTTGATTCTCCAATCTAAGCTTCGAACCTTATCACATTGAATCACTTACAAATGCACTTCAAAAATGATTGTGTGTAATTGAAATGTTGTGAGATGTTGAAGATGAAGATGATGAATCTTGGACACCTATTTCACTCTTTCTTGTTTTTGAACACATGAATCAAAGATTATCAAATGTTTAAAATGACACAAGTGGTTAAACAACTATATATAGTACCAACCTAATTTTAGACATAACAATATTTCAAATATAAGAGGGAATCATTTAAAAACAGGATTTCCGCGCGAACGGTCGACCGCAGCAGGTCTGTGCATCGACGCATGGCCTGTGTTGTTTGGAAATCTGGAAAATTCATCAGTATGCGTCGACCATACAGTCGGCGTGCGCTGACCTGTTGAAAACTATTTCCTTCATGCGCCGACCCTATGGTCGACTCATGCCTTTATGCGCTGACCCGTTGGAAAAATTTCCCCTCATGCGCTGACCCTATGGTCGACTCATGCCTTTATGCGCTGACCCGTTGGAAAAATTTTCCCTCATGCGCCGACCCTATGGTCGACTCATTGC